TCGAGCGAGTGGCGCATACGTACTTCCCGGCGGGATATCGCGTGGCAAAGGAGCGAGGGACCCTGTGGCCGGAGGGGGAACGGAAATTTTGCATTCGACCGTTCACTTGTACGGGGTTGGGTATCTTCGAGGACATCGGCACTGCATGGGGTGGACATCTCCTCATCACGGGCGGGAACAACACCGGCGGCTTTGCCCAAGCGCCCGCCATTGCACGTGCCGTGTGTCGCGCCATTGCTGGGGAGCACGACCCCGTCCATGTGCTCTTCAACCCCCATCGGAGCAAGCTGGCCTCCCCAGTGCAGTACAGTAATGCCAGTCTGTAGGCAGCTAGAGAGATCCAGGATGTATATCACAGTCAAAGACGACAATAAGCTTAGGATAAGCGCAGATAATCTACTAGAAGAGAGTAACCCATTTGTCAAAGTCATCAACACAGTCTCCTCCCTCCACAGTTCCTCTTCATCTTTCATCTAAGCTTTGAACTTTATATCCCCACCTTCTGTTCCTCTCCAATCGTCCCCTCCAGTCCCCAACCCAATCCGCCCCTCATCCATCCTCCATTTACGGTCCCTAATGTGATTTTTGACCCTACATCCGGCGTAATCATAAGACAGTCGAATAAGGAAGCAGAATCGGAAAGTGGATGTATTTTTTAAACTCGATCGCTTATCGCGTGGCTGTACAACTGCCAATATTTTTATAGTAGTAATATTCGTGTTATAGTCGAGGTTGGTAGCCCAAGTACCTTACTGGGCATAAATGAACGAAGCATGTATTTTGCCGGATATATATCCAGGCAGGTGCCGTATGGAGAGATCTCGCATCAGGGGGAGTCTGAGGCCCCCATTTCAGCATTCATAAAAAGCAATATGGCGAAGGTAATTCCTCCTGTTAAGACCTAGAGCTAAACATTAGACATTTTCGCTCTTAACTGCAGAATTTTGCAATCTTAAACTTGTTGAGCGGACGTAAAGAATTGATTAAAACACTTGGTTATACTACAAAGCCGAAAGACAACACCCACCCACATCCCCCCGCTTTCTATCTATGCTGTTATATGAGATAAAATCCCTTAACCTCTTACTTGTATTATCGCAACTCAGTCCAAATTCTGAAGGTTCATTTACAACAATCTCATAGTTCATTCTTCGGGTGTCAACAGCGCTACTTTGACAGGCAGCCTGATGACAATTTCCCAGCTCTCCTGACAGTCTTGCGTGCTTTCCAGGCTTGTATAATATAACCATGATTAGAATTCGATTACTTATTTTAAGAATCTATAGTTTTACACAAGCACAACACCCAAGCCGTAGATAGGGCTATTCGAGGTATAATGGTTGTTTAACCACATATTATGAGATATATTCGAGGACCTCAGATATATAATTAAATGTGATAAGTAATTGAGAGATTTCAAATACCTTTTCTGAAACTCTTCTTAATTATATAGTGTTGCGGTTGCATAGATACTATCACAAGACATATATTTGCAATGGACTAGGACTACTGTAGGGTGATTGAGATATGGTGTATGCTAGTACCACTAACCTCTTTCTGTCCCTATTTTAGGTTAGTGCTTACGCTTGTGATTACGGTCACAATTATGCTTATGATTACGCCCATGATGATGGTTTTGCTTATGGTTTTCCGTAATGCTTATTAAGACTGCGGCTTTTCTACCCTAAACTAGAATGCAGCTAGCCTTTAGCCTAAGTAGTTCCATAGGATTACGGCTGTTCCTTCTGAAGCGGGGGAGGGTAGCTAAGTAAGCAGACTGCGACCTCCTACTTAGGGGGTAGGTAACTTATGGATTAGATAGATCAGTAACAATACCTTAAGATAATCAATTGGCATCTTTGGCCTCGCGAAAGCTATTTGTTCATCACGCTATTTCACCATCTTAGCCCTTATACTCAGGGATTGCTCAGGACACGCACTTCTGTGCTCCCCCCACGCTCCGGGCTGCTCAGTGAGCAAAAAGCGGCGCCAAGTTCGACCTAAAGCGGAAAGGGAAACTCGCTCAATTTCCGCAGCAATCCAGTTCGTTAGTATATTACTAGGCAGCAGGGCGGTGGCGAGCCTCAGCTTGGTGCCTGTTGGTTATCTCGACGGGACGGAGAAGGATTCAGTTGGGGGATTGGGGCATATTGGTCAGCACAATTATCTTAGTTACTCGATGTGATTAGTGATTCCCTGCGTCATGTTGCGGGATGAGTCAATTGCTGGCTGTTGTGAGTAAGTAGGTCTCAGGGATAAATGTTTCGATCGATACTACGGGGGGTATACCTCCCATACATTTCATGCAGCACCAGAAGAAACCGGCGGCGAACCAGACTGCGAACCAGACTCTACGAATGCACGCATTTCTGAAGTCAACATTATTCCTGGAATTGAACTGCCTTAGACCAAACAAAGCACCTCTGCGCCATGGATAGGATGTGAATAAAAATGCTTCCATCCTTCGTCGGGAATGCCACCCAAACACAATATAGCAACACGTTCAACTCAAACAGCAAAAGAGAAAGAAAAGAGAAAAACACTAAAAGATGTGTGTGATATCATACAGAAAAACATCTCTCGAAGCGTAGCCATCAGGTGGGTGTCGGGGCGTGTGTGAGTTGTGTTTGAAAACAAAAAAAAAAGCTTTTCCTTTTTGTATAACAGGATTTGCCCCCGTTTACTCGTCGCTCTTGCTCTTGCTCTTCTTCTTCTTCTTCTTCTTGTCGTCGACCTCCTCGGCGTCGTCGGAGCGCTTGCGCTTCTTCTCCTCGCCCTTGCTGGCCTTCTTGGCCTCCTTCTTGGCCTTCTTGATGTCCTTCTTGCTCACAGAGCTGGGCTTGCCCTCGGCGTCGAACTCAATCTCGCCCCGCTCAAGCTTGCGCTTGTACCGCTTGACAGTCAAGCCAGCCTGCTCGGCCAGCTTCTCGAGCTCCGCATCCTTGCTCTTCTTCTTCTTCTTCTTGGAGGGTTCCTCCTCGGAGTCGGAGTCGGACGAATCGGCCTCCTCGTCGGAAGCGGCGTCAGCCATCTCCTCGTCCTCAACCTCCTCAACCAGCTTCTTGTCCTTCTTGCTCTTCTTGACGGAAGCGGGAGGCTCGTCGCCGGTCAGGGCATCAGCATCGGGGTTGTATCTCCGAGCCTCGTTGAGGTCGAATTTCTGAGGCTGGGCGGCACCGTTGGGGCCAATGGACACACCACGGGGCTTGAGGGGCTTACCCTCCATGGCGGCCAACTTGCGCTCGAGGTTGTAGCGGGCCTCGGTACCGAGAGCAGCCTTGTCCTCCTCGGTGACATCGTCGTCCCACTCGGCCAGGGCATCCACACGGAGACCCAGGGAGGCCTTGGCAGCCAGAACTCTGGCCATCTTACCCTTGTTCTTGCCAGTGGCCTGGCCGATCAGAGAGGCGTGGTAGATCAGACCGTACTTGGGAGTATCGTGCTTGGTCTTCAGGGCACGGAACAGGGCCTTCTCGGCACCTAGGATCTGGAGGGTAGAGGCAGGACTCTTGGACAGGTTGGTCAAGCTACCAGCGTGGGCAATGAGGCGGGCACCGACGAGGTCACCGACGAGGGCAGTCAAGTTGGGGGCAATAGCGTTCATACGGGCGGTGAGGTAGCCAGCGAGCTGCTGACGGTATTCGGCGAAGCCGACGACCTGCTCGGCCAGGGCTTGAATGTGCTCCAGATCCTCCTGACTGATCTCAGTACCCATGGACCGGTCAGCGGCAGCCTTAACGGCACCCTCAATCTCCTCGGGGAGGATCTCGGCGAGATCAGCAGTCTCCCAGTTAGTGCGCATGCCCATCTTCAGGACGAGTCTGGCGTAGGCGATGTTGTCGTTCAAGATCTTGGCCAGCTCGGGGAAGTGCCAGCCGTACCATTCCTTGACACGCATGGCGTAGTTGTTGAGCTCCTTGTCCAAATCATCCAACAGACCAATGGCCTGCACAATCATGGTGTCGATTTTGTCGGGGGAGAACTTGAGCTTGTGACGGGCAAGAGAGTGCGACAGACCGAGGGCCATGGTGGACATATCCTGAGGAAGAAGACCGGGAATGAGGGTGGGCAAGTGCTCACGGATGGCACGGTAGATGTCGGTAGTGGAAGAGTCGGCAACCAACTCAATGGACAGGCCAGGCAGCTTGCCAATGGCGTTTCCTGTAGGGATTTGCGGTCAGCCATGCTGACTCTTTTCTCCATTCCACAGGCGAGAGATATAGAGATAGAACATACCGAGCTTGGGGTCGGAAACAGCCAGAGAAACCTTCTTCTCATCCTTCACTTCATCCAAAAGGCTGGCCAGACGAGGAGTGACCTTTCCTTCAACGAGAGCAGCAACTTCCTCCAGGGCAGTAGCGGCGCTGTCGAACTTCTGGAAGCTCTTCAATTTCAAACTGGAATTGCGCGAGTTAGACGCACGTTCGGCGCACGGAGGGGAAAATTTTTGCATGCGGAAAGCACTCCGAATAAGATTGCAGCAGTTCCATCTGCTCCCACAGACAAGGAAGACTTACAGGTTAGAAACACCCTCTGCAGTAGCGGCCTCAGTTGTGAGGTCGTCTCTCTTCAGAAGCTTCTTGTCCTTGGCCTTGAGCAGGGCATAGCCCGCACTGGTCTCCGTAAGGATAAAGAGCGTCATGGTGTAGGCTCTCGACGACTAGCTGTAAGAACGAAAAGAAACGACAGATATAAAAAAGCACCAGCTAGAAGTGCGAGGGGCGAGAGGGGCGGGGGATTTAGGAGGAGGGGTTGGCGTTAGTTGGCGACGGGGGACGAAACCGCGTGCTGGACGAGGATTGCAATCGCTGGGAAATTTTTCGACACCAAAAAGTGAAAAAAGCGAAAACGCCGTGCGGACTGTGGCTGGTGCCCGCACGTGGCGGTGCGGCTGCACTTGCTCTGTCTAGGCAGGGCTTTGGTGCCGCTTATGTAAGTCTGCACGGGATGCCGTTCGGGGCCCTGGTCACGGGATTGAGGTTTACGTCGACTCAAGATAGCGACAATCAAGATCAACCCCCCCAGTTCTGCTGCGACTTTTTCCCCGTTGGACACAATAAAGGCAGCTTGAGGACGTGTGCACTTCCAAGAATCATGGAGGGTCTCTTCTTCAACGTCAAGAGCGGGTATGCCTTCTGAAAATGCTTTTTCGAACCCCGGAAACTCCCCTGACTGACCGACCTGATCAGCTACATTGAAGGCATTGCCCGAGGGTATCGGAACAGTCTTTTGACCAGCCAACACTATTCCAACTTGACCCAATGCGAATCGATTGATGGTCAGTTACCTCTCGACTGACCCTTCTGCAACCACTTCGAAAGCTCACATAGATTATCTTTCTTCCCCGCAGATGTCAAGCTCCAGCTCGCCCCCGCATACGGCGACTTCCTCGCCGCTCTGCCCCCGAACCCGTCGACCTCCGCCCTGGCAGGCAAGATGACCGACAAACTGGTAGCTGAATTCCGTTATCTCCTCGCGCAGGCCACGGGGTCGACGGAGAAGTTTCTGCGATACCTGACCTACGGGTACATGATCGACAACATCGCTCTGCTCATCACCGGTACGCTGCACGAACGGGACACCCGTGAGCTCCTGGAGCGGTGCCATCCACTAGGCTGGTTCGAGACCTTGCCGGTCCTCTGTGTCGCCACCAACATCGAAGAGCTGTACAACTCCGTCCTGATCGAGACACCCCTGGCCGGGTACTTCAAGGGCAGTCTGAGCCACCAGGACCTCGACGAGCTCAACATCGAGATCGTGCGCAACACCCTCTATAAGAACTACCTCGAGGACTTCCATCAATTTGTCACCACACACCCCGATTTCAAAGGCACCCCCACTCAGGAGGTCATGTCGGAGATCCTTCAGTTCGAGGCCGACCGCCGAGCGATCAACATCACACTCAACTCGTTCGGCACCGAGCTATCAAAGCAGGAGCGGAGGAAGCTGTACCCGGAGTTCGGAAAGCTCTGGCCCGAGGGCTCGCTGATGCTCTCGCGCGCGGATGATATCGAGTCCGTCGCCCTCGCCGTGAGCATCTCTGCAGACTACAAGGCGTTCTTCGATGCCGTCGGCTTGACGCAGGGTGGCAGTGGTCTGGGAGGTATGGGAAGCGCCTCGGACGGGAAGAGCTTAGAGGACTTGTTCTATCAAAAGGAGATGGAGATGTGCAAGGTTGTGTTCACGCGGCAGTTCACGCCCGCTGTTGTATATGGATGGATGAGACTGAAGGAGCAGGTAAGACATCTAAACCCGCCTGTCGGACCTTCACATGCCCCAACCAACTCCCAACCTGAATTGAGAAGTCAAATTCTAACCCACTCGACCAGGAAATCCGAAATGTCACCTGGATCGCCGAGTGCATCGCGCAAAATCAGAAAGAGAGGATCGGGAACTTTATCTCTGTTTTCTAGATACCATGTTCTTCCTTTTTATATCTTAGCCATCTTGTTTATTTAAAGCTCCTCATTGATCTTGTTCTCTGATCTCCTGGTCCCTTGCTCGACTGTCTCCCTCATCTTCCATTCGCAAACTAAACATATTTCATTCCCGGCTACGTCAGTTCGTGTAACAGTAACCCTGTGTTCTCTGCGCCAAAAAGGCGTCTCGGGCGTTTTTCTCTCGGTATGCTTTCTCTCTTCCGCAATTTCAGGTCCTAAGAGCGCGTTCGTGATTACTAGCTTCTTTCGAACTTTCTCACTTATCGTACTCCGGAGCTACATTACTGTATTTTGTTATAAGAAATTGCACGCATTGATATTGGGACCGCATGAAAAGATATATGGGTTACTGCATATCACGTTTCCCAGAAGGATTCCCGATCAAGCTGTCTGAAGTCGAGGTAATAAAATATATTGGAGTCGTAGATCAACCCCGGGGGGAAGAAGACAATAGTTGCCTCTTTTTATGCAAGCAAAAAGAGAGATGAAAGATAGAAGATCACTTAAATCTTGGTTAATTTGGTCTCAAGCCAAAAGTCTTGTCATGATTGTTGGATATATATTGATGCATATGGTTCCACTAGTCCTTCCTCTCAGAAGAAGCAACCGAGGTGAAAGACATGTTAGCGCAAAGCAACGAAGAAAACCAAAAGAAATTCCCCCAGGACATAACAAGAATCAGACAGATAGGCAAGACTGGGGGATTATAGAAGAAAAAAGCAAGGCAATATAGGAATGACCAACACCTTATGCGGGGGACTAGCCGTAAGACATGTGCCTAGTCCGCTTCTCTTGAAAATAAGAGTTTCGATATATTTTTGGTATAAAAGGAAGAGAAAACAACGAGATGCGATGATATGCAATAGCAAAAAGACCCCATGCATCAACGTGTTGAACAAGCAAGCTCAGTAGATGTCATAGCACAGTGGTCAGAAATGGAAAAAGTCCCCTGGAGACAAAACCCAAGATTTCGTCGCTCCTTATTGTTTCCAACAAGTTTAGAATTCACTTTGTATGGACGTCCCACACGAAAAAAATTGAAACAGAAGAAAGTGAAAGAATCCCGTGATGGCATATGCGTTAGTCATACTGGAACAGAACGCTGATACTCTCGCCGTGGTGAACGCGGCGGATGGCCTGTCGGACTGAATTAGTACCTTGTCGCATAAGCTTATCAAGAACGAAATCTTACCTCAGCAAAGACATGGCCGACTTCCAAGACCTCCAGCTTAGGACATCTGCGCAGATGATCCGACTGGTCCACACTGTTGGTGACAACGACCTTGTCCAGAGCGCTGGCATTGATGCGATCAATCGCGTCACCACTCAGGATACCGTGCGTGACCAGCGCATAAACACGGGCAGCTCCTTCCCTCTTGAGAAGCTTAGCCGCTCTGGTGATGGTGTTGGAGGTATCTGCCAGGTCGTCGATCAAGATAGCGGTCCGATCCTTGACATCACCAACCAGCATCATGGTGGCATTCTGGCGATCCGTGATGCGTGTGGGGCGCCGCTCCTGCGAGCCATCAGACCAAATCCGACATCAGAAAATCAGGGATGAACGAACCTTGTGAATGAGAGCAAACTCGACGCCCATCGAATCGGCGATCGCGGTCGCACGCTTGGCGCCACCGGCATCAGGACTGACAATAACAGCTTGTTTGTAGTTGGGGATATTGCGCTGAATATAGCTCTTCAACAAAGGTCGGCCGTAAAGGTTGTCGACGGGGATATCGAAGAATCCCTGATATTGGGGGTCGTGGAGATCCATTGTGATGATGTGATCAGCACCGGCGCAAGTGAGCAGGTCGGCGACCAAGGTACCAGCCTGGGCCACCCATTGCTTGTAGCCGGGGCGGGGCTGGAAGTTGTTGATCTTGTTGGCTTCCTCTTCCGCAACGCTTCCACTGTGAAGGGAAGGTAAGGAGTCCATGGTGTCGCTGCGGGGCAGGCCATTGACAGGACGTTGCCTCTTCACCGGGCTGCCATTGCTAATGTCTTCCAATTGAGCCTTGGCCAGGCTCTTCTGGAGATTGTCCACACCGTTGAGCAGGCTGCAGCTCTCGGGCTTCCCCGGATGTGGGGTAGGCGGGGTACTTTCGAAAGTGTAGCCATTGCCGGGTTTGTTGGCAATAGAAGACTTCGTCAGTGGAGCGCCCGTCTTGTTGTAAGGAATGTCGCTCTGACGAGAGTAAGGGAAGAGGGGCAGAACCGCAGTGACCCTCTTGGCCGAGGCAGTTTTGCAAGCGGAGATGGTGATAAGCAGCTCCATCAAAAGATCATTCACCTTTCCGCCACCGGACTGGATGATGTAGACATCTTTGCCACGAACAGATTCTTTGATCTCGACCCGGGTCTCACCGACAGAGAATTTCGAGAGGAGGACGTCTGCCGCCGGGATACCCAGGACATTGCAGATATTTTGAGTCAGCTGAGGGTGGGAGGTACCCCCAATAACGACGATGTTGCGCACCATATCGTTGTGAGAATTCGAGTGGGAGGCTTCAGGAAATCCGGTGGGCTGCAGAATCACAGGCGAGGGAGACTGGATCGGTTGCGGAGAGGAGGGAGAGATATCCGATGAATCGGCGGGTCTGGAGGGGCGGGATGAAGGGTGGGATTAGCACGACCAAAGAAGAGAGGAGAGCGCTGGCTTGGAGCAGCAGGAAAGAAGAACAAAAGATTTCGAGGATGGAAGTGGACAAGCAACTACCTCATGGCGGGGATTCAGGAATGGGGTCCAAGCGAATGGATGGAGAAGGAAAAGTAGACATCGAGATCAGAAGGAGGGAGGAAGAGAGAATAGGAAGAGTTCGTGGAGAATCGGCCATAGAGACGAGGAAAAAAAAAATGCCTCTGCCGCGAGTGGAACCCAGCCGACGGTTCAGGCTGCAGGCGTGGGGTAGCCTCAGGCTCTGAGGCTGCAAGATTGCCTCTTTCCAGCTAGTCCCGCCCTGCCTGCACGGGCGAATCCAACGGCCCCGCAGTGATGACTCATCTTTTCCAGGCTTATGACCCCGGAATCGGACTGAGTGCGGACCTTCTCGGTGCCTCGGTGCCTGAATTCAGCAGTATTTCCCAGCAGGAGCATCAAAGCTGGAGTCCCCACACTATTGTTGCATGAACATCAATATCGACACAGGGCAAGCGCACGTTCAACCCGAGCACAACGCTTCCCTTGACCCGAGACCAAGGTCTATCTCTTGCAGGCTATAACCCTAGAGCTATAACCTCGGGGCTATAACCTCAGGGCTATATTCCCTGGTCCGGATCATGGCAGGATTCGCAGTACTCCGTACAAGGTCTCATGGCGGGACAAGCCATGGAATGCTTGGTCTACCTGTGACAATCTCGTCAGCTCCAGCTCGAGAGGAGTATGACTTAAGCACATACCAAGGAAATACGTGGCTAGCGGTGCTTGGAATGGAAACACAGAACGGGGAGTTGCTCACAAGTTACGATAAACAAGTGTCACGCGTGAGACGCTGACCAGCGAGAGTCATCATTGTCCTCTCATTCTCACTTCAGAAAGACCTTTGCGCTCCGCTGAAATAGGCACATTCTAGGAAAGCTTCCAAGCTAGTTTGTGTGGCAGTTACCAGGCCGCGGCACGACTTCAGCTTCATGGGTGATCACTGAAGGTTGCGAGGGAATAAAAACCAGGGGGCAAGGAAGACGTAGAAAACTGTTCGATTCATCAATTCGAGTACAGGATCTGAGCTATCAGGAAATGTAGTATTTAATCTCCTACTCAGAACCATCCATTCTTGTCCTGTGTCCAGACGTCCCTCAATTTTTTCTTTTCTGTTTTTTTATTTGGCTTGGGAGCTCGTAGGTATTTGTGCTCTCGATCTGAAGCAGCTGGCATGAGCTTCTTCCCAGCGACAGGACCCCTCCTCAGATCCTTTTATGCTCCCCAGCTCACTGATAAGGCAACAAGGTTGGGCAATCAGTGAGACAAGTGTCTGGTCTAGACCCGGCATTGGCAGGCGCGATACGATGCCAGCACGTGATGCGCTGCGACACAATCCACTCCAGCCCAGCTTGTGACCATTTGCCTGTTCAGGGACTAGGCCGGACCTGACCTGCTTCTCAATTGAAGGAGCTTAGCAGAATCCAACCTCTCAGTCCTAAATCGAGTTGCGCAGACACTTTACATTTATGCGCTCAATTCGCCAGTCCAGAATTAGCGGATCGTGACATTCTGGTACTGGTCAAGTCCATTGCTTTCTCTCCATGCCCGGCCGCCTCATTCTACGGCGCCCGTCCCCGACGACCGTCTCGTTTACCGTGTCGAATGCGTCAAGGCATGCTAGCACGCCCGCAAAAGTTCTGTTCTACCTGCAGATCTTACTGCGAGTACTAAGCTTCTTCAGTGTGCTTCTGCTCGATGTCGCCAAACTCCGATACTCTCCCTACATTCGCGAAGCACGCTTGATCCCCTGGTCAGCTGTATGGTCGACTCCCCTGGGCGCCTTCCTCTGTCGCTATGCGGACAGGTACAGCTACCCGGTTGTGGCACTAGCCAGTGCAATTGTCATGTACGGTGTCTTTAGGAAGGGATATACAGGTTCGTTGGAGGCGTGCGGCCGTCGTCTAAATTCATCTGGTGGTGCTAACTGCGATTGCGAATGTTTAGAAGAGTCGCTCCTTGTCATACGGGGCTTGGGCATCCAGACCTCTACCTCCTCCAACACGTACTTTTCAAAAGCGTCTACGCGATTTATACCCACAACCCAGATCCAGGATATTGTGATCCATGAGGCTTTTAAGGGGTTTGAGGTTCGCTTCTATCTAGCCGTGATTGTCGAAGGGGAGACGGAAGTCGTCGTGGTTTTTCCCGTAAGTGTGAACGTTGAACATACGTCCATTGTGTCCAGCCCGACTGACTGCATACAGAAGCTGCTTCCGAATCGGCAAATCCTGGAGGAGGTGTGGAGGGGTTCGCGACGATGTCTGTACGACTCCAAGTCATGACTAGGTCGAAGCGAAAGATACGGACAATACAGGGTTCAACTTGAAAGACTCGTATCATGAAAGCACACGCCATGACTATCGCTCAGCGTGTGGATGCAATATTGCTGGGGTGGGTAAAAGAACCATCTCTATCTACATCTCCATCTTGGAGGGCTTCGCACCAGCCTCCGTCTTTCTTTGTTTGGCGGCCAGCCACCGCGCGTTCTGAACTTCCACAAGCTCCGTTTTGCGCTTTTGCATGACTGGGATATAATCACCGCCTGTTCTGGATTCGTTGTCACCTAGGAACACTTTCTGTCCTCGGTTCTTCCGCTCCCATACCGGGTTGACTCCTCCGTCAGTGACGATGCTTCGATCTCCCTGACTGACGGCCAGGTCAAGCAGTGTACCGGCTAGTATTTCGTCGATCTTACGCTGTCTCCAAACAGCCCAGAGCTCCTCGACGATGCCACCGAGACCGAACTTGCCACCACCCTTGCCAAGATGGGACTTAATCTGCCTGATATCACCTGCATAGATCCACTCCAAGGTATCTTCACGGCGACCGCTCTGCTTATCAGGGTAGACACAGTTCCAAAGGACCAGAGGAGCGTCAGATGCCATCTCATAAGTAGGCTTGCGCGGGTTCTTGGACGCATCTAACAAGTCATGCACAATGGTCGGGGGTTCGAGACCCTGGCCAACTAGAAACAGTACGCTGACCATGTGACGAACTTGATGCCACAGGAAAGCAGATCCTTCTAGATTGAAGACATAAACCTTAGCAGAAGTGGGTGTAGGCTCATCAGAGGACCTGGTCTCCTGCTCGCCTTCAACAGCGCGGAATTCTGGGTCGTTGACATACCCCAGCGGGGTGTTTTTGGCATCGAGTAACTCAATGTCAGCACGGAAGATATCGCGCTGGAAGGACTCGATCTGTTTAGTAACGTCCAACTTGCAGAAGTTGCGGAAGTCGTGTGTACCCTCGAAGTATTTGGCGGCTTCGCGCATCGCCTCAATGTCCAACCAACCTTCTCTGTATTTCGGCCTAGCGTTCGTTCCATCATTGGCACGGGACATGAACCCGTAAGGTCCAGGAGTTGGGGAGAAGGCGGGCTGAGTAAAAAAGTACTTGTAGTGGCGTTCTCCACAGGAGAAACGAGCATCAAATCCTTCAGGGGGGTTGGGACACCACGCGAGGATTCTGATATCCTGCGGTAGGACCTTGTTCAACATGCTAACATAGGGATGCTCATCCTTGATGTGGTCCCAACCCTCGTCCGCCTCCTCCGTATTTTCCATGGCTGTGTCCGGATTCTGCGCATCCGTCTTGCGCATCGGCCGCGTACTGCGCACTCTGATGCCGACCACCTGCCCGAAGGCGCTCACGCCGCGATCCGTGCGGCCGGCCTTGGAGTACTGGCATCCATCCCAATTGATCCAGTAGGGCTTGACCTCACGGGGCGCGAAACTCTCAACGAATTCGTCGTCCCCAGACGTATCGTTGGGAAAGATCAAGCGCGTCTTGCGCAACGCCTTGTAAAGTTCCTCCTCGATGGTCGGCAGCGGAGTGGCATTGCCGTTTGCATGTTCCAACCCGTTATACCGCTGTCCAAGGTATGCGAATTTCAGCGCGATGAAGCGCGTGTTGTACTTGGAGGGGTCGATTTCCCGACGCACTTTCTTCGGCTTGGGCGGCCGTTGCTGAGCTCCTTTCTTTGCTGTCGAAGGAGACGGCGAATTGGCAAGTTTTGTTTCGGTCTTGTCTTTTTGCTGTTTGAGAATGTCCGCAGTGCTCTGGGAATCGGCACCCGCGGGAGGATGCTCCCCAGGCGATGCGGCGTACTCGGCCGTGCGGGAGTGCAGTTGGCGCTCGAGCTCAGTAATTCGGGCAATCAGACTAGAGGTGGGCCATGTTGAGTAGTCCGGTTGATCTTTCGAGGAGCCGGAGGCTGCCTGCGCCAGCGTTTGCGAGGGTTGCTGCTGCTGCTGCTGCTCCGACATGGTTTGCAGCGGGGAGAAGTCGACCTGGGCTAGGGAACGAGCGAAGCAGTGGAAAGGAGCAACTTTGGGATGTGCTTTGTGAACAGTAGTAAAGTCTTGAGCGCGAGTCCAGAAGGTGCGAAAACTTCCTTGGAGACTCCGCATACCCGTAAGGAAAGAGGATGTTGAGCGGCGGGAATCGAAGTTCTCGCGGAGGTGGAAGCGGGATTTTATTGCGGTTGGGTTTTGCGAAACAAAAATTTGGAGTCGCCGGTTTGAGTTGCATTACGGCGTGTATACCGGGTGTATTATGGTAACATTACAACTGCTGGTATACCAGGATGGACTGAGCGGTAGACATGAGATTCCAGGCATAGGATGTGATAACTCCGGGGTATTCATGTCTTTTGATCCGTCAGAATATTGATATGTTGATTCATTAAATTGAGAGCCTGGTGGAAACTGTGCCATGTTGCAGATGTTATCCTCGGGGACTTGTAGCAATGACCGGTTATTGGCGGACGGGGTTCATATATTTCGGATCTTATCGCATCTCGCACCAGCATCTCAGAGTCCACGGCGAGAATTAAATCTACAGAGTGCTCGGAGATGTTTCACCGTGAATGATAATACACATTCTTCGATAATCTCGTAGATTCAACACAGCAGACGTAAACCTTCGACATAGATGGCGGACTTCTATCCCCAAGAAGACAACCCAACAGTCACCATCCTACTGCTCGGAGACTCGGGTTGCGGCAAGTCGACCTTTCTATCGTGAGTCGACTGATCCTTCTCAACCCCAACCACATGCACCTATCATATCTCCGAAGTCCCTCGTTGTTTTAGCACTCATTTCTCTAACGACCTCCCATAGGAGCCTCAAATCCAACCACCGTCGACTCCAGGGTCAAGGAAGAGGAGGAGGAGGAGGAGGAGGAGGAGGGGGAGATAACGTCCCACTCCGAGACAGCGACCAACCATTTCTGTACGACATCCGCTTCTCGAAGAAGTCCTTCACCCTCGAGGTCTACGACACCGCCAGTCCGAACCAGCACTGGTCAACTCTCCGACCGGACGTGGTGCTCTTGGCGTTCGATGTCTCTGACCGCGAGACGCTGAACGGGCTGAAGGGGGTAAGTGGACCGAGCCCCGGGTTGATCTTACCTTCGAAACTAGAGAAGACCTTTCTCCCGCAGACTTTGTCCATTTCTGATCCGTCTCATCCATGTCTAGTGGCGACACGATATCATCCGGTATTTCCAACGCGGCGATGGCGAGCGCATTCCTATCATGGTGGTTGGATTGAAACGGGACCTTAGGGTAGAGAGTGAGGGGGTTATCTATCCGCAGGAGGTGAGTTATCACTTTATGGCAGTGTTTGAGTGGTGGTGGTGGTGGTGGTGGTGGTAGTTTGTGTCGCATTGAATTGGAGAGAGGAAGTGGCTGGTTTACTGGCTGGGTTATTGGCTGGGTTATTGGCTGGGTTACTGGCTGACTGACTGACTGAATTTTGTAGTCGTACCGCATCGCCCAGGAACTCCGTTGTGATCGATATGCTGAGTGCTCTGCTGTTACTGGGGAGTTGCTGGCGGAGACATTTGAGGATATCGCGCGGATGGCGGGGATGACGTTGACGGCTGCGGGGGGCCAGAGTAAAGGGGGTTGCGTTGTCTGTTGATTCTTCTGTTGACTTATGTTTTGGTGATACCCTTTTTGGTCTTGAATTTTGTTGTCTATGGTTGAAGTGTGCTGAGGGGGTTTTTTATGCGGGTTCAAGTTCTTGAATTGGTATAAAAGGTTGGTGAGTGTTTGTGTATACAAGGGAGGGGGAGATGGTATGGAGTACTTGTAGAAGGCTGCATGAAGCGAGTTCACTTGATAGTATTATAGTCTGGGAAGACATAGCCAGAGTTGAGCTGATGGATTGATGGCAAAGCTGCCGATTTAATGCTACGATCGCATCCTACAACCTACGTCTACACAGAAGGCAAGACATGGTAGCTGGCATCACTTTTTTCCAATCACGGCTATGATCTACATACAGGGAGAAACCAAGGTAACGATTAAGTCCACCTTGTAGATTGACAGCACAGGGCTTTCCCCCAGAAGCTCACCGAGGCAAGAGAACAACTGGATATCTTTCCCTCATAAGCGCCAAGTCAACTGTTGAACGTTGCAATTCCTCCCCGATGCATACCATAAACGAATCAATCAAAAGAAAAGGGATGGGCGGGAATAAGTTTTCACCGTAGCATACCACGTCAGAAGAAAGGTAGGAAAAAAGGGTGGGTTGTTTGAAGTAGTGGATCTCCCGTTGATTGTGTTTTTTTCCTCAATTTTTTCTTCCTTTGCTTTTGTTTTTTTTGGTAGATTGCTGAACTGAGACTAGGATAGACATGACAAGGGATTGCTTTTCCCTCTTCTATTGCCGAGGAGAATGCAAGTGGAGCCCCAATGCGCAAGGAAGCATCTCACTTGTCGCTCCCCATCAACCGCCAAGTTGCATCGTGGGAAAAGAAGATGTAAATCATGGTCCCCTCTCAACGACCGTCCACGTCACCGGGTTCAGTGATTTACCAGTTACCCTCAGCGGGCTTGGTCTCAGCCCAGCTCTCGCCAGCAGGGGCAGCAGAGCTGGCAGCCCAGTCGGCACCGTCAGCCTCCCAGCTGGTACCAGCAGCAGCGGTAGCAGCAGAGAAAGCAGTGCCAGGAGCACCAGCACCGGCACCGGCGGTGTCCCAGTTGTCACCAGCGTAGCCGGACTCGATGGCAGCGGGGCCAACCTCCTCAGCGCTGGCAACCTTGGTCTCGTCGGCAATCTCCTTGTTCTCCTCAGCCTCGGGGTCACGGTAGAAGTACAGGTCGACAACGACGTCCCAGTCAACCTCGCGGGAAGCGATGGTGCCGCGGAGGCGGAGGACCTCACGGGCAAGCATCCACCAGACGAGACCGATGGCGTGGCGACCCTTGTTGTTGGTGGGGATGGCAACGTCAACGAAGTCGGTGGGGGAGTCAGTGTCGCAGAGAGCGATCACGGGGATGTTGACGTAGCTGGCCTCCTTGATGGCCTGGGCATCGGTGCGGGGGTCGGTGACGATGATGAGGCGGGGCTCCTTGAAAGAGCGGGTGATGTAGTTGGTGAAGTTACCGGGGGTGAAGCGACCGGCGATGGCGGTGGCACCGGTGTGGGAAGCGAACTTCAGGACAGCACGCTGACCGTAGGGACGAGCGGAGATGACACAGACATCGGCCGGGTTGTCAATGGCGGCGATGATACGGGCGGCCAGGACGATCTTCTCCCTATAGAATCGCGCAGCGCGCGCAAGTTAGATCCCGTCCAGATATTTCGTGTTGACAGTTCCCGGTCATGTTCCTCTCCCATTGCGCATGCGATTCCTTCTCCTAGTAGACGTACCAGGTCTTGCCAATGTTGATAACGTTGACACCGTCGGGGCGAGTCTTCCAGAGGTAAGGCTCCATGTGGGACTGGAGGTTCTTGGATCCCAGGTGGCACTGAGCAGCCAGGAGCTGCTCAATGTCCTGGGAGGTAGGGTTGAAGATCGGGGGGAGCTGGGAGGGGGCCATGGTCGGCGATTGATTCTGCAAAGGAGATCGAATTGAGGATATCAATCGACTGGCGCTTGTCGCGGTGGTGATGACGGGGAGGAGAGACGAACGCGAAGCTGAACTTTTCCACGCCGCGCTGAGATGGTGATGGAATTTCGCTTGCCGTTTGTGAATCTTAGGGCTAGGGTTAGCCAAGACCGGGACCCCCCCGGACCGTCCCCTGATATCACGTGAAGCTGGTCTTCCCGACCGGGACTAGCGCCGTTTGTCCGGCCTTTGAGATTTCGGAGAAAGTTCAGCGCGCCAGTCAGTGCTGGTTGAGGGTCTTAGATGCGAAGAAGTTACGGATTGTCCTACGACCATTGCCAGTGCTCTCTGTCCCAGGCGCCCAACAATGTCCCCTCGTTTACTTCTCCAGCCCTCTCTCAGGGCTTTCACCGGTTTGTCTCTCACTTCCAACTCACCATTCTCACTCCTTCCGACTTCCGTTGGCCGTCAAATCTCCCCTAACTAGTTTGCTGTTGATATCAGGCTCTTCCTCTACCCAGACTCCTTTCGCTGCCCTCTCTTTCAACCCCTCCAAGATCACAATCAGAGCCGGCTCTGCGGAGGCACGGGAACGCCGTAGACATGACCCTTTCTTGACTGCTCAGTCCCGCCAGCGCAAGGCGGCCAATCTCTCTCGCCGCAAAGCTCTCGCCGACGAACGGGAAGAAGCTCTGGGAGACCCGGTGAGAAGCGAACCGACCCCCTTTATCGAAGAGTTGCAGAAGACCTCGGTGTCTCCAAACGAAAGGCTCAATTTTTACTTGGCACGGAAAGACTACGAACGCGCCCTCGCGTATTCGCGAAACTTGACTGCCCCTCTCGAGAACCCGAACCGCGATACCGCCGATCCTCAGCTCGAGAAGGAGCAAGTGGACGACCACCTCAAGCAGCATGAAAACGCGAAGAAAGCGATGGATCGTATCCTGGACCTTGCCAGTGGAAACAATCAAGACAGAATGCGCATTAACATCCAGAAATGCATTGAGACTTTCGGGCGACACAACACGGACAAGAAGTTGCCTCCCAAGCCAGCGGGCGTGGCTCCTGAGAATGCAACTGTTCACCCGCCGAAGGATCCCCGTTGCGGTATCGATACTGGCTCCTCGGAAGTTCAGGTGGCGATTCTGACCTCCAAGATCATCAACCTGACGAGGCACCTCGAGCATACCAACAAGGACAAGCACAACAAGCGCAATCTGCGCCTCCTCGTGCACAAGCGGCAGAAGCTTCTCCGTTACCTTCGCCGGAGGGAACGCGGAGGTCCCAGGTGGCAGCACCTTGTTGAGACCCTTGGTCTGTCAGACGCTGCTTGGAAGGGTGAGATTAGCATGTGAATGGACAGAGGCCCTGTCGGCGTTTGTAATCTATTTTTTTCCTTTGGCTTCCACATCTCGGACTATACTTTCGGCGTATAGCAACCTCATGATCTTCTTTCACTGACATCGTTTCTCTCCTCCGTCAACCCGGTGACTATGATAGAGAGTCGGCGGCATTTTTCCCACTGGTGCTACATTACGCTGGCGACGTCCGCTTGCCTCAAGAGCCTTATCATGTACTGTACAAATACTATTGTTATTGATGACTTAGATCTTTTCTTGCATAGAATGCGATTCCCCGTTGCGTCAGCTTTCTTAAAACCATAACTCTGCGACTGGCCACAGCACCGATTGCCGTAGACAATTTCCGTTCATCTCGTACATAGTTGCCCTTGTCCGAGTCGCTCTGATATTAGTCGGCAAGGATCTTTGATTAAATTACCATGGTTCATGATGAGACCTCCGTCAAGTAAGCAAGCAAGTGGAAGACCTGCGTCGACTCGGCGAGGCTGTATAGGTCTCACCGCCTTAGCGTTTTTGCCGGGACGTCACTCGCCGCAAAATTCCCGCGCAGTCGAAGTGAATCAATCATTCACTCATTGCCAACTCTTCATTCACCCATCACCAGATGCTATAGCTTTGCTTGCTCTGGTAGTGAATGTTGCCAGCTCTGCCCCACGGGTCAACGGCCCACACGCGCCATAACACTATAACAACAGAATCATAACACAAATCAACACGGTGAGTTCTGTTTTCTTTCCTCTCTTTTCCCTTCCACCCTCTCCCTCTTTCTTCATCCTCCACCACCCTTGCCCTCTACTCCTCGTTTCCCACATCGCAAAAGCGTCACTTTTCAGTCACATACTCGCACTTTTGTGTTCGAAACAACACTCCTCTCCTTCCCTTGTTCGTCTTAACATTCGACATCCTGCCGCGATTGCAGTGGTAGCGGTGTTTCCCTTCGCGCCTTCTCTTCCCTCCTCCCCTCCTTCCCTCCATCTCTTTCTCTCTCTTCTCTCTCTCTCCCCGTCGTGTCAACATCACACAGAACGTCTTCTCTACCTTCTTCTCACAACAATCCTTCCCAAACGTCCAGGAGCTTGGGACACAGAAACACTAGCATCTACATGATCCGAACTTTGTTGCCTTGCTCCAGTGATCTGTATTCCCGACCTGTTATTCTCCCAAATTCCTGCACTCCACTTTACCCGTACATTGGTTCACTTTCAAAGGCTTGCGAAAGAAGTCGCAAGTCATATCTATCACCGGTGCTCACGGTAGTGCCGTGCCAAGTTGAACATTTGCCAACTGTCATTCGATTTTCAAAACAGTCAAGATGCGGACTCGTTCCCAGATGATGTCGCCTGGTGGCTTCGTCTCTCTAGACGACCACAATGTTGCTCGCCCGGCCAGACAGACCAGGAGCAGCTCGCAGCAACCCACAGGAACTCAAGAACAACCCGCCGCTCAGCCGAAGACAACGCGCGCCCCGAAGAAAACAACCACCACTAAGACACAAAAGGCTACTACCAAGTCTCAGTCTCGAAAGAAGACAACCACCAGAAAGCGCACAGCGCGCAAGAACACGCTTCAAAGCGATCAATCCGGATCCGATGAGACCGAACAGCCTCAGGGTGAAGAGAATGAGAAAGCCGAATCCACCGCATCCCAAGCGGAAGTAGCTCCCCAGGAAAGCGGAAGCACCGAGATTACCCAGGAGCCCAAAGAGGAGAAAAGTGAGTCTCGAAAGAGAAAGCCCCAATCAAGCGAAGATATGCCGCCCACAAAGCGAGCTCGCAACTCCATAGGAGAAGACCACCAGACCCCGGTCCAACCCCCCAACCAAACCCTCATTCAAACCCCCATTTCAACCCCAGTTCAGACCCCCGTTCAGACCCCCGTTCAGACCCCCGTTCAGACCCCCGTTCAGACCCCCGTTCAGACCCTCGTGGAACCAAGGGCTGCCTCGGAGTCTCCTGTGGTGGGCCCAGTTCCTAAAGAGACGCCGGAAAAATCAGCCTCGAAGATGCCTGAAGAGAATACCGGCGCGGTTGAGGACAGCGGTCTCGCCACAGATTCCATTGAACAGGGGCTCGTTGGAACTCCGAGTGGTCTGGGGCATGAGAACTCCCCCGAGAATACGGGGCTGATAAACAATACAGACAGGAAACGACGTCGCCCAACGAACGAAGACGACGACGAAGATATCAACAATGAGGCAGGGCCAATCACCCCCGCTGCCAACAAACGACGCAACCTTGGTATGCCCGGGAGCACGCCGTTCTCTTATGCAACGCCCTTGCCTCGCCGAGTGACGGCCAATGTCACCCCGTTTTCTGAGAGACTTCGCCGCCGTAATGCTGAATCTCAGGGTCGTATCTATCGAACCAGTCTCCGCGTCTCTCAGTATCTTGCCCAGGAAGACGCTGACCGTCTCGCTTCCGATAAGCTTCCGGTGCCAGGAGAAGATCTCTCAACTGAACCGTTTCCAATTTTCGAGGATAACGAGTCGCACCAGGAGCGAAGCTCACAGGAACATGCACAGCAACCGACCACTCCAGATCGACCTGCGAGCGGCTGGAGGATTCGCGGGCTGCTGGATTCTGTTCCCCGCCGACTCTCGCGTTTTATTCCCACTTTTGGGCGTACCCCTGACAGGAATGAAAACCAAGGTATACTTCTTATCATCGCTTTGTATCTTCTCCTTTACTGATGCTTTTCAGGGCTCGCAGCACCATCGACTGCACCTGTCAATCGTACACAGCCAAGCGCGCCTGCTCCGATGGACAAAACAGTGTCTCCTACTCCAGCGAGCAAGGAACCGGCACAAGAGCGCTCGCCCGACCTCTCCTACTCCTTGTTCCCGGCTCCTATGGACTGGTCTCAATACATTGATGATACACCACCCAAGCCTAAATCTAGCCTCAAGTCTGCCCTCAAGACCACACCCAAGGCTCCAACCGCAGCTCCCGAGTCTCCAGCCGATACACCGACTCCCGAGGATTCTGCCGCGCTCAGAACCGAAGCCAGTGTGCCCCGAGGCCGCAGCACCGCCCAGGAAGCGGCCAGTACCTCCACCCCGATGCGGAAAAAGCGCAAGCGGGCCCCTTCCCCTGATGTGATCCCTAACCCACCTGGATGTAGCTACGGTCTACACCCGGACTATTTCGGTTACAATTCTGACATTGACGATGAAGGAGACGACGAAGACGAAGAACTTGCGCCAGCAACCGAACCCCAAAGAGAGGATGAGAAAGGAAAGTCTGCTGTCCGCAGTATCCTTCGTTCCGAGCGCCCATTGTCGAAGAGAGTCCGATTTGATGCGAGCCCCCAGGACACTCCATCCAAGCTTAGGATGAAGCCCCGTGCCACCGACCCGTACACTGGAGAGCACTTCATCGGCATGGATATTTCTCCCGAGTCCAGTAACTCAATTCCAACAGTGGCTCCCACCCCGAACCCCCAGGCCAAGCAGCCCACCGTTTACCCGGATCCTCGAAGTCGCCCAGGCTTCGTTCCCAATCGTGATGGTACCTTTGAGACCCCCTACTCTGATACTGAATCTGAAAATTCAGAAGAAGCCGATGATGCTCCCGCATCCGGCTTCGTTCCCAACCGCGATGGTACCTTTGAGACTCCTTATTCTGACACATCCTCGGAAGCTTCAGACGATGAGGCTACCACACCAGGCTTTGTTCCCAACCGCACCGGTACATTCGAGACTCCCTATTCGGACGACCCTTCGGAGCCCAGTGCTTCCGCCCCTGATGCTGTGCCCGACGCACAGACTGCCGAACAAACTGAGACTCCGTCGCAGCCTGACGCTACTGAGATGTATGTTAATCCATGTTCAATTGCAGTTCGTCCAATGAGGCAATGGCCCGCTAATCTATCTTCTACTAGCACGCCTCTGGAAGAAAAACAAGCTATCGTTCCTCCTTCGACTCCAGCCAAGGTTGAAGATGAAGCTCTTGCTAGGGTTCGCTTGCAAGCGGAGAAGTACAAACCCAAGACGCCAAGTGGACTTCGCACTGCGAGCCGCTATTCCACCCCCTCGACCATTGCTGCTACTCCTGACGCTATTTCCGCATTGGTCCCCGCCCCCGCATCCGTCCCCGCTTTCGCACCTGTTCCCGCTCTCGATTTCGAGGGTGCATCCGACGCCGAAGACTTTGGTGATGATCAGTTTGCCCGTGATGCTCAGTGGCTTTACGAGAACTGTCCTACAGGAGACCTCTCCGAGCTCGTCTGGCCGGATGCCGAGAACTACGAAGCCATGGGCTTCAGTACCGAGGCAGTCCGCATCGCTAACGAGTTGTGGGATCCTTCAGTGGTTGACCACGCTTACGATAACATTTGGACTCCCGGTTTGGAGGCGTTCAGACGCGAAATGGAAACCGTTTCCTCGCACGCTACACTCACATAGACTTCTTTAGGTTGTCGTTCCTCATGTCCATGGCTCTGGGTATTACAATCGTCTTCACTCATAAGTCCTGGTCAATATCATTATGGCCAAATTACAGTCAGATCAGTACGGTCGATATCTGCATTTGAATGGTTGTCAGGCTAATTACACGTCGTTGATCATATCTTCTTTGCCACAAGATTGTGGCTACCTCGTTGGCATTGCTGTCAGGCTTATCACGTCGTTGATCATATCTTCTTTACCGCAATCTTCTTTGCCGCAAGACTGTGGCTATCTTCATCATGGTGGAATGTTCCTCGGCTTTGAATTGTTCAAGGAGTTTGTGATACCATCGCTTTTTTTTTTGTTTGATTTAATTTGCAAAGCATTCTCGGTGTTGTCTGTTTTTCCAAACCGCTTTGCGTGTATCGAGTTGCACTAGCGTTTTATTATTCACACATACACAAGCAAAGGAATTGATTTTCGTTGGTTCCTCTTATACAAAAGTACCCTGACCACTCTTTCAAGAATTTTCACGTCCTTGTGGCTAATTTTCTGGTTTCTGGTTGCAAGAAAGTCTCCGACAGAAAAGGAGGAGATTATCTAGAGCTTACAGAAGAGAAAAAAGATATCTAAAATCCCTAGAAGAAGAGAGAGATTATCTAAAACCCCCGGGAGGAGAAGGGGAATTACTCAAAGCCCCGGGAGAGAAGAAAGATACTTAAAAGTAGCCCCCGGTCTCGAAGGGGCGCTGCTTCCAGGTTGCTGCCTGCCTGAGGGCCACTTCGCGTTACCTCTACAATAGCTGTTATTGGATACTAAAAGCCTGTAAATCTCAGCCTCCTCAGGCTCTCCCTCTTCAGTCTTTCCAAGTCCTGGCGATGAGTCAATTCCTGATCTTCATCAACTTCCCCATCTCCAACGCCTGAATCATCACCGGTTCAAAGACTTAGTAATAACTGACAGTCGTATTCTATGACCTTGACCTTCGTAGCCAGAGAACCAAGCAAGCTAACACCAGAAGAGATCCATCATGTCTTCATCCATAACCCTCTGCCCTCTTTGTGGGTTTGATCGCGACGGCTGCCTGCACGCCAGTAAGTTTGCCGTCGTTGACACCAACAACCGGCGCTTCGGCTCTTCCAAGCAACCTCAGCTTCAGCCTCAGCCTCTGCAACATCAGCGCCAGGCAAATCCCACTGCGCAGAATCATGGCAAGAAGTGTGTCCCTACTGCGGCAACCCAGCCCACCCCCCAGCCCCAGCGTTCATTGGCCTACCAACCTGTACGCAACCGTCCTCCCGCCGCGCCCGCTCCGCGTGTCTCCTGGGCCAACCCGCTTACCCAGCAGCGGGTTTTCGATCTGAACTGCTACCCCGCTGAATTGGGCAATGACGAGCGGGCGAAGCGGAAGTGGCGCCAGGGACAGGAGAAGCGCCGGAAGTGGGAAGGCCAGGTGTTGCAGGAGAAGTGGTTTTTGTATCAGTTCCAGGAGGCGAGGGGGATGCTGCCGAAGCAGATAGCAGCTCAGCAGGAGGAGGAGGAGCGGGCGCGACGGGCGAAGATGGAGCGGGAGCGGCAGCGAAGGGTTAAAAGCGAGCAGGAGAAGCAAGCGAGGGTACAGCGGGAACATGAGGAACAACAACGAGTGAGGATGCAGCGGGAGCAGGAGGCACGAGCAAGATCCAGGACTCCCCAGCAGCAACAGCAACAGCAGCAGCAACAGCAGCAACAGCAGCGTGAGGAGGTGCTGCTGGGGATCCAGCGGATGTTTCAGGAAGGGCAGCAAAATCAGCAGGAGTTTCAGCGCCAATTCATTCACGAGGCGGACCTGCGGAGGATGCAGCGAGAGCAAGCATCAACATGGCTTGCGGAGCAGGAAGCGGCGGCGGCGTGGCGCCAGATGGAGCCGTGGCAACAATATCAGGACGAACGGCGAGCATGCGAGCTACAGCGGATGGCATCTAGACGACGCGAGGAACCAGGGCTGCAGATATTCCAGGTAAACCTGAGGCCGGGATGGCGGCGGCCGCCATGGGGGCCAGACCCGGAGCCTCAGGGAATGCCCCGATATTATCCATACGGACCACAGTGTGAACAGCAGTGAGTTCAACCTACCTCCTTGCGCAGTAGTAGGGGAAACGGGGCGCTGTGGTTTATGAGGCCATGTGCAACTTGTGCGATTAGTACGAGAGAAACCGTAGAAATAGGCAATAAAGCTGTTTGGTCATCTATTGGGCATCAGATCTATAGTGGTGGTAGAAGACATGGTATCAGAATTTATGACGGGAGAAAAAAAAACACACTGTATGATAGATAGCAGCTCAATCAAACCCCTCAAACTCCTCGTCCTCCGCAGTCGCATGACCCTTGCCCTCGGCTGCCTTGGCTGCGCGCCGCAGCTGGCGTTCCTCTTCGTTCTTCAGACGGAGCTGCTCTACCATCTGCTCGGTCTCCCGAGCCTTCTGTCGCTCTTCCTTGGTCATCTTCTCCCACTGCTTATGGTGCGCCCGCGCCTGCTTCACTTCTCTACGCTTCTGCTTCTTGTTCCGCGTTTCGAGGTTCTTGCTCCAGGCGGCGCTGTCGGTGGCCGGGCGTTTGTTGGAGGATCCATCCCCTTCGTTGGCAGCGAGCTGCTCAGCTCGCTCCTGAATTTCTTCCTTGCGGCGCTTCTCCCGCTGCTTATCCTTGTAAGTGAAGTTGTCCCAGTCCAGTGTGACGCCCAGCGTCCGATCGCCGGTGAAGGACCGCAGCTCGGGCATCTTGGGCAGCTTCAGCAAGGCCCACGCCTTACCGAGCGCCTCCCATTCGACGTCGGCCACACGGAAGATACTGCTGGCTTGGTGCTTGCTGTAGCTTCGGAGCCAGCTGACGAAGGCTTTTTGGCCCCGGTCATGGAGGGCCCGGTCTGCTAGCACGGCTTTGCGGGCCCGCTTGGTGGCTGCAGCAGCGTCGGCATCGGAGACGGCGAGAGGCTTCGGGTACGGAACGACAGGCGTTTTGCGGACATCAAGGAAGGAGACATAGTCTTCTTCGCGGCCGGGGTGGAGCAGGACCACGCTCAGACCCTTACGACCGGCGCGTCCTGCACGACCACAGCGGTGGATGAAGGTTTTCGGGTCGGAGGGAGGGTCGATCTGAACGACAAGGTCGACGGAGGGGATGTCCAGTCCTCGGGATGCAACGTCGGTGGTCAGAAGGATGGCGGGCGTGTGGCAGTTGAGGAAGCGGTTGAAGTTCTTTTCGCGGACATTGGCTTGATGTTTCCCATGGAGGGGGATCAGTTGAAAGTCATCACCGAGGATCAATGGTAGGATGCCAGCGAGATAATCGACTCCGGAACAGGTGGAGACGAAGAAGATGGTTTTCTGAGGGGTGGGTTCGACCGAGCGGAGGAGAGCGGGGAGTACGGCGAATTTGTGCGCGGGCGGGGTAGTGAGATAGGTCATTTGTAAGCTAATTCATCAGGTTAGAGACGACGTGGAAGGTCACAGAGTTTGTGATTGATGCGACTGACCTGGCTGGTGTGCGTTTGTCCTGGGCTCCCGAGGTGCCCTTCACTTTGACCATGACCTTGACCGGGTTGCGCAGACCAACTCGGACAATCTGGTCGACAGCTTCACTGATACTGGCACTAAACAAGCCGGTACGTCGTTGCTTGGGTAGTCGGCGCAGGATGTTCTGGAGTGTGTCCTTGAATCCCAAATCCAAGAGTCTGTCGGCCTCGTCCATGACGAGCATCTCGAATGAGGACTGAGGGCAATGTACGTGGGGTGAAGAGAGGAGCTCCAGCAACCGCCCAGGGGTCGAAACCAATACATTCGGGGACCGCTTCAAGAACGTGCTCAAGTCCTCCGCAGGTGTTGTTGAACCACCAAGCAGAAGCTGTGGGACGACCTTGAGGGCGGAGGAGAGGTGTTTGGGAGGAGGCGCATCGGCGTCTTCGGCGGGATTGAGCACGGCGGCAGACGGAGGGTGGAAGGCCAGCAACGAGGTCAGGACATTGTAAATCTGAGTGGCAAGTTCTCTGCGCAGATGATTAGCCTACATGATATCGTATGCCTCAGACCCATGCAATGCGAGGACCTACCGGGTGGGAGAAATAATGATTGCTCCGACATGGTGTTTCTTAAGAGGCTCTTCCAAGCGCAGAAGTTTTTCGACAACCGGTATCAAAAATGATAAGGTCTTTCCACTGCCAGTGACTGCCTCCACCACAACATCTTTATGCGCCATAAACAGAGGAATGGCTGAGGCCTGGACGGGGGTCATGCGCGTGAAGCCCATGGAGGAGACGGCATCGAGCACCCATTCCGACAGTGGGGGCGTCACTGCGTCCCACGCTCTAGCAGATGTGCCTGGAGGAGGTTTAGGAGCCATGCTGTATTAACCACCTGACGCGCAAACTTGCCCAAGCAGATTCAAAGATTGACTGAGCACCTCACAACCGTTATCGATCTTTTTCTCTTCGAATTCAACCCTCCATTTTTTTCCCTTATCGATTAGATACCGGAGGCGGTGGATGGGATTCTGCCGTACTTACACGTGACCGCCCGCGGAATCAGCGGAAGCCAATAGGTCCAAGGCTGAAATCGAAGCTGAACGAGTGTTCTGGATATTTTCCCATCTATCACTCTTCCTCGCTCACTCCTAGTTGCTCTCCTTTCGCCGCAGTGCTTTCTCTTCGGTTCACGAGTATCATGTCAACCCTTCACTGAAACTTTGAAACGTGATGCGTAACGGTGTGTCTACTCGGTACTGTACATACAAACTGGAATCGACGCTGGCTGCCACAAGCCACATGTCCTCATCATCGTTGCACCTAGTCGTCACTTGGTCTGCCCATCATTGCGTCGTTAAAAGCGCTCAGTCCCCCTACACTGGGCTTTCCTATTGCCCTCTTCGCTAAGATAACTCCACGACCCCTTTGCGGAGTCATCCTCAAGCCCGCTCTTCCGCCTTTCGTCATACCCGCGATCGAAATGTCTACAAATCATGATGCCATTCCGGAGACTCCTCGTGTGATCTCCCCTTCACCCACCCCGTCAGATCCGAGGTCGAGCTCGCGAGACTATTTTGGACCCACCACTCGCTCTGCTGCGCGTCGACAACGACTGGGGGACGTGAAGGAGGACCTTAATGACGACGCGGATGCGACTTTGAAGCGCTCTCGGGCTCGTTCGCGGAGCCCTCCCAGCCCTGAATCAGCACGGAAACGCAAGCGCAAGTCTAATCCTAAATTACCGACTGCTGGCAAAGCCAAGTCATCCACTACAAACGGTCACACCACACCGAACAATGGGTATTTGTCGCCATTAATCAAGCCCGGTGGGGCTTGGGATACCATTTCTCGGTCACCCTCTCCTCTCGGACTTATCCCTCTTCACAGTCGATATCGCAGCTTCATTCACCGACATGAAATCCCGCGCAAGCTTTTACACGTCTCCATTGGCTTCCTCACGCTACACCTGTATACCCGAGGCATCCAGCCGCTTCAAATCACTCCGTGGCTTTTTGGCGCTCTCGTTCCGATAGCTTCTGTTGATATCATCCGTCATCGTTCGGAGACAGTCAACAAGCTTTACATTCGCTGTGTGGGCGCACTGATGCGCGAGACAGAGGTTTCCGGGTACAATGGTGTTATCTGGTACCTGCTGGGCGCATATGCCGTCTTGCGCTTCCTTCCGAAGGATGTTGGTGTCATGAGCGTGCTGCTACTTAGCTGGTGTGACACTGCTGCCTCTACTTTCGGCCGTCTCTATGGCCGACATACCCCTCAGCTCCGCAAAGGCAAGAGCTTGGCGGGAACACTGAGTGCCTGGCTTGTCGGTGTCATCACTGCTGCCGCGTTCTGGGGCTTTTTCGTCCCCTATATCGGAACCTTTCCCAACGATCCCGAGGGCTCTTTCATGTACACCGGACGCCTTAATCTAATACCTGGTCCTGTCAAGAATCTCCTCGGCTGGACTGCAGACACTTCCAGTGCCGTACTGTCGGGCCCCCTGGCGCTCGGAGTTATGAGCGTTGTCTCGGGTCTGGTGGCAGCTGGCAGCGAGTTCATTGACTTGTTTGGCTGGGATGACAACTTGACAATTCCTGTTCTTAGCGGTGTTGGCCTGTGGGGCTTCCTGAAGATGTTCGGTTAAGACAATTAGATTTCAAGTTCCCAGTCCATTTGGCGTTGGCTGTATTACTCCTTCCCTGTTTACTATTCTTACTATATTCGTGAGAGTCTCCCACTCCATGACCCTCCGTTCCCCTGTTCTTATGATGCGCAGATATCTACGCATCTTTACCTGCTGTTCTTATCATCACACCTCGCTAAATACCCTACATACTCTTATTATTCTCCTATGTTCCATTCCAGCAGTAATTTCACCCATGAACATAGCAGCCATGGAACAAGAACTGACCGATATGGATTGGACTGCTTCGTGATGGATAGATCTTGGACTTTGTGATACCTCAAATCCATATTCATCAACCTCTTAATACATAATTCTCATCATATTTCTGTTGATTATCCTATCTGGTTGGTGCAAGGCTCGCAATATGTTCTGCGGGTGCATTCATCAGGCCCGGAGTCACGGCAAAGCACGACTAGATCTTTGCAAAATATATCCTAGCCCAATCTCTGCCCGAGACAACCATACATTACTAGTTGTAATGTGTAAGCTCCGAGATTTACTATGAACTTGAAGTCGTCCACAATAGCCCCATTAACCACATTGGTATCGTCCAAGATCGATAGTATAAATGGTTTTTATGTCAACCGACTCTTCTTATAACGCCACAGTAGTGGATGGGGTCCTGTAGCATAGCATGCCTCGTTATTGGCAACCTTCAGCAACCTTCGGCAACTGTTGGCAACTTTTAAGTCTAGTAGATTTAGTTTCTTCAAGGTTTATACAGAAATTGCAGTCCGTTACGAGTAAGTCTGTATGCTCATAATCTACTAGACCAGTTATTCCAGGTATATATATCGTTACTAGTATGGTTGGAAACATAATGACTATTAATCGTAATAACTCTAATGATTGTACAGTACGATCATCACGCCTCGAGGACACGAGAACTCTGTAAACTGGATGTTTTTCCAACCAATTCCTGATCGAATGTACGTACCAATAGCGACATGATGGAATCATTTCTCACACTCAAGACTGTCACGAGAAGCGTCATAATTTCGAAAGTCCGACCTGCTAGTTTAGCACTTATACAGTATACCCATGATGTTTGTTCACTCTACTACTAGTCCACAAACCGTCACTGAGACGCAACATCTCGCCCCTTCCTTAATCGAATTCAGAGATTGATCACCCATGCAACGGGAACTCTGTCCCCGAATCCGGTCCGTAAAACACTCTCAAAAGCTCCGTGACCTCCACCGGATAAATCCAACTGAACACCGCCATAACGATCAACATCATGGCCGCATCAAAGATATAGACCCAGTATTCGTGCTGCAGCAATGTACCCGTCGTCCCCTGGTCATATTCAATCAGACGGAAGCTACACCTGATGAAGATAAAGACGCTGCCGATGTAGAGCGCGTGCATATGTCGCCTCCACGGCACATGTCTCGTGTACCGCTCCGCAAACCCGGATTTGACGAGTCGGACGTGGAAGAGTACGCTGATCAGGATGAAGAGACCGAAGAAGATGACCTGGATGATCAGGCCGATTTCAATGACCGTCTCGCCGGTGGAGAAACTGCTGGCAGTTTGTTGGACGAGGGTACGGCGCCTGTTGGTTGGGGAATTTTGCGTATGGGTTAGTGATTTTGTTCTCATGGAATGAAGGGAGTCGAGGACATAAGTACCTCGGGACTGGGTGAGGAAGGCTATGATGTCTCCCAAGACAAAAATCTTGGTCAGCTAGGAGCGTCGAACGAAGCAGAATTGCTCGCCCTCGGTTATGATGATGATGCGGCCGAGGGTCATGTAGATGCTGGCGGCGAAGAGGGAGGGCGCGATGAGGATGAGGATCGTCTGAACGGCGATTGGGCCCAGCTTGTAGTCGGGGTATTGGCTACCTGAGATAGCTCTCTATGCCTCGCAACATTATGATTCAATCACATGGAATGCATGTGAGATGAAAGCATGAGAAATGGCAACTGACCGCAATGTATCCCGCCACTTCAACTATCCATTTCCCAGTTATTGTGTCAGCGACCGCTCCGGGGAACACAAATGATCATGCATACTTACAGTAGCCCCGAATGGTGAAGGCAATAAAAGAACCAGGTCCAAGTTGTTCGATACAGTTAGAAGTTGTGGTAAAATGTCGTTGCTGCGAAGAGGACGGCCAATACGGACGCGGCGGCAACGGAAGGTACGTAGTTGTACTCTCCCATATACTTGACTTTGAGCGTCATGATGCAAGAAGGGAATATACTGAATGGCTCAAGGATGTTGATTGGCTACTCTTATAAGAAACGGCGAACATATTGTATAGAGCGTCCATATATACACAAGCTTGGCTTTAGGATTCCGCCTCATTATACCACTGGCACTCAGATTGGCCTAGCAAATTTATGCCATGCTGAAGCTAACTGAGTTGTCGCAATCCGCTTAAAACGCATACAGAATGAGAGCTGCCCATGTAAGCGGGTGGATAACCTTTTTCAACCACTAGTTGTTCCGGGCCAGTCTCCGTATACACGAAATCTAAACTACATCGGAGCATCGGGGCTCCGAGTTTCCGACAGTCCGACCCCCGCTACTTGAGGATCCTTTTCTCTCCCCACGTTGTCTACCCGTGGGTCCCTGAATGAGGCCGTGGCAGCATTCCGCCAATGCGGGTGCCTGGTTTTAGTATTTCATTCGATCCACTGTAACAGGCGAGCTGTTTCAGTACGGAAAGGCCCAGGCCCGAGCCTATCTATGCAGCATTGTGATCTCTTTAGGCGAGGCCTATGTCAGTCCGGGAGCCATACAGATGGACAGGTCTCCCTAGTAATGTTCGGCACAATTACTGAACATCCTTTGATTGCTCAAAAAGAAATGGTGTCATGCATCTTGAGATCAGTTATGCACCACTGTATTCAATGAAATTCAGCCGAGAGCGACTAGCGAGGTCCGGAAATAGCATGCATGCTACGGACTACACGTCGCAGGCACTATCCAAGGCTAACACTATCGTCAAAATCAGTCTTCAGACAAAACACTCGCCTTCCCGCCTAATATGATTCTTACTTCGACCCGCATCACCTTCTCTACATCCTCTGAACACCAGAACGTCTAAGGATGCGTGCACTATCTCGATCGTCATCTGGCTTGTTGCTCATTACATCTTTCTTTCGAGTTATTCTTGCTGGTGAATCCATTTCAACGTCTGCTTTGGTAAACTGTGGGGTCAACACAGCCATCAGCGTGACCTACTTCGATGCCAGATTGACACGGTCTGGAACCCTCGACATCGCTTTTACTGGATATCTCGACATATCAGGCAATGTCACGGCAGATGTGGTGCTTTTAGTGTACGGATACCAGATTCTCAATGACACGATCAGCCTTTGCGATCTGGGCCTAGCAAGCCTCTGTCCACTTGCATCTGGCGCAATTAACATACCCCAGGCGAGTTTGAACCTTTCATCTATCATGTCCTTGATCCCAGGTGAGTGATATGATCATTCCTTAATCCATGTCTGAATTTCCCAAACTCACCACGAGTGTAAGCAAGATATTGGCTACACTGTTCCGGACCTTGATTCCACAATCCTCGTATATATTTACAGTGACTCGGCTCAAAAGTCTATAGCCTGTCTATCAGCCGATCTGTCCAACGAGCACACGGTTAATCAAGTGGCTGTTTCGTGGGTTCTTGCGGTTATGACTGGGCTGGGCTTGGTGGGCTCCGCTATTGCCATCATCGGAGGCCGTCTTCATTCCGCCCCGCACTTGTCCATCGCGTCACTGACTTTGTTGGAATTTATGCAGTTGCAAGCAACGTTCGGCCTCTGCTCAGTCAGACTACCGCCTATTGCACAGTCCTGGACACAAATGTTCCAGTGGACTATTGGAATTGTACGGACCAGATTTGTTCAGTCGTTCTGTCGCTGGTACTTACGTGCAACGGGAGGTACTCCGTCTACGGTCGTGGAGGACTCGAAAAGCATTTCAGTGATTGTGAAAAAGCGGGGGTTCTCCAATGATGTGCTCAGTTCAGGCAGGAGTCTTCTCCGAAGAACGGGTTCGGATGTGTCAAAAAATAACGAAAACACAGTGCAAGGCATTTCTCGAATAGCCTATCGAGCTGGCATTGAGTCCACCAATGTATTCATGACGGCATATTTCTCATTCATGTTTGTTGCTTTTATTCTCCTTGTGGGGCTGGCGGCAGCTAGACTGGGGCATGCGATCCTGAGAAGGTCTAACAAGAACAACCTACCGCGCTGGCTTGAGTCGGCACCTATGCGCTTGCTGAACAGTAGCAGAGACCTGTGCCTTATATTTCTAACCATTGCTCTTCCCTCGATTACCCTATTTACCTTTTGGGAGCTCACGCAAGTTGATTCCGCCGGAATACTGGTTTTGGCTATAACCTGGGGCGTCGGGATCATCGTATGCCTTGGGTGGGTTGCAGTGAGAACAATCTTCTACGTCCAGAGTGGTCGGAAATCAGGCCTGACCGCAGCGTACACTCTATCTTTGGGACTCATTGACGCAAAGAATGTGCGATTAATCCACATGTTCTATACAGCCGACCGATACTACTTCTTTGCCATACAACAACTCTACATCTTCGTGGGCGGGCTTACTATTGCTGTTAGTCAGTCTGCTCCAGTCGCACAGTCTATTATCCTCGTGGTTATCAATGCCGTCATGATGGGTCTCGTGATCTGGGCTCGCCCTTGCCGAGAACGAAGCATGAATTGTCGCGCCATCGCAGTAGCGATCATCCAATTTTTGAACTCCATCTGCATCCTCATCTTCTCGGGTATCTTCAAAGGCTCACCAATGGCGGCTAGTGTTGTTGGTGTGATATTCTGCTTGTACAATGCCATCTACATGCTAGTGCTTGTGGTTTGTCTGCTAATTTCATGGTTCAACGCCATCCGTTCAAAGGAGCCTAAAACCCAGTACCAGAGCGTCGGCGACATTCGCGAATCGTTCCTAAATTTACGTTCTTCACCTCCAAGAGAGCTCATAGATCCAAGCACCACCGCTCGGGAAAGGGCGATGCCTTGTGACCATCAATGTTCAACCCCGCCAATGCATCACGAATTAGACGAGTTGCATAATTGAAATCACTGGATACATGTCCTGCAATATTCCACTAGGATAGGAAATCAGCGTACCCAACTTTCATACTTCCCAATTACTCTCAGGACTCGGTTATAGACACCCATTGACTACCAAGCCTAGACTTACAATCTACTATGCTTTGATCCGTCTCGTTCAATGTTCAGGTAGCTGGGAATTTGCTTTGTGGCTGTCCATGCTACCTGGGATAGCGTAGACACATTGGGAATAGAGGCAATGGTGAATATAGGCAGCTAGATAGTAGTAACCTTAGTCAAGGATAGCCGTCTAAGGTGCAGCACGAGGGCACTGGACGGGATTTGATAGGGTCTGAAGTATGGGATCTCAATAAGAGAAGAATTCTAGTAGAGGACCAGGCCTACTCGGGAACAACAACAGATTCACAGTCATCCGAACCCGGCAAGAGGTGTGAATAGTATATATGGAAGACAAGGGAAGTAAGACTCAAATTTGCTTGCACCCACGTCATGCATTGAAGGTCTGTAATAAAGGTTCCGCTTGTGACAGCTATATGCCGTTATTCATTCTCTCGGTATCGCAACCTTCAACCGAACCATCCTATCCAGTCATACTGTATCTACCAAACCAAATCTCTTTAAGAACATTCCCACATCCCTCTTCTCTGGTTTCCAATCGAATTCTGTCTGGTCTCATACCTTCAGCCACCATCTAATACTTAGCCACGATGACTATGTTTTACCGTTGGTTTGCACAGGCTGAGATCGGTCTCTGGTCCACCATGCAATTCAATGAGACTTGGACCATCCTCGAATCATGCGACGAGGGTCAAATTCATGCCTACGAGGACCTGAACGCAGGAGATTTGACCCAGGATAAATCTCGACTGGTGTTCTTTACTTCTAATATCGCTAGTAATGGTATTACCCGCTACTACCAGGGCTTGTATATGCCTACTGCCGAGGGCGTTGTGACTATCCATGCCTATATGACCCATGGACTGACTTCGACCGGCGTACTCGGGCCTGATACCTCGCAAAAAAACGATCTTCGAGGTCTCCCCCCACCTGCATACTGCTGGGGACTGCAAGGCGGCTACCTTGTTTGAGCAGCGGATGGTGGACGTTATCACCGCGCCTGGGACTGGACTAGAGCTTCAGGAAAACACCAACACCTCCGCAATTTTTAGCTCTCTCACGGCGGGCACTTGCTAAGTGGGTACAACAGAGATTAGCCTTGACGACGGTCGCTACCCAACGGCACCGCGGTGCTGGACACTAACACAAAAGTATACAAAAAAAAAAACAACCTAGTACATAACCTGTGGAGTTTTCAACCTCATCCAGCACCCAGTTCCGACTCCGGCCATAGACTCCGCCGTTGAACATTGCAGTGGCATTCTTCCCAATCCCGCCTCTGATCATTATCGGTCCTCCAGGATGGTGCTCAATAAACTCAGTAACATCATGCACCACGCCTGCGATAACAGTAAGCGCCCTCTTCCCCTGCTTTACTCGCTCGACATACTCCTCCCACTTCCACACCGGTAGCTATTGCAGAGGAACTCCCCAGTGCACCAATTTATACTCCCGGTCCAGCTTCTTTTGCCGTTGTTGAATACAACCTTTCTCAATTTCATTCGAGTGGAGTCTTTGCAGGTTGCCCGCGAGGCCAAGGGATCTCCACAGATTTATCACCTATTTCGTCGGATCATACTGATACCATTGCACTGCACAATGATAATCGCTCGGAAACTCGTGGTGAAAATTATGCCAGCCCTCCCCCAACGTGATCAAGGCCGCGAAAGTATTATTCCTCGGCGTCCGCGTATTATCATATGTTTGCTCTCTTATCCAATGGGCAATCGAGTTAATGCAGAATGTTAACTGCTGCACGACGAATAGCCGTACAAAACCAGCATAAATCAAACCGCCCTTCCAATCCCCCCATCCAAGCCCAGCGATGCAGTGGGAAATGTAAGTCCTATGACAGTCGCAATGAGTAGATAATTCCGGTGCTGCCACACCACAATCGGATCTTTATCCGGTTGGATATCGAGACGCGTCTGATAGTTTCGGGGTCCTGCTTCTTGATCATCCACCCCATGTGAGCCCATATAAATTCACGCTTTATTGAGTAAGGGTCTTTGTCTGTGTCTGTATAGTGGTGGTGCGCGCGGTGATCGCGCGTCCGTCATTGGATTGAGTCCTCGACTGCCCCTCTGCCATAGAGAGCCAGGAATAGCTTGAGTGGCCGTGACGCGGTATAAGACGAATGGGACCAGAGACGGTGGTATCCTAGGTTTATTGATTAGAATGGTAAAAAAAAGAACATTCTGAGCCCGCACCTGCTGAGATCCCGAACCCAGTACAGAAATAGTATACGACAGTCCAGAGAGCTGTAGGTGTGTGGAGAGGCACACTGCGCGCTTTCCAGAAACCTATAGTAGGAATTATAATGATGAAAATGACGTTGAGCCAGTTGGTCGTTGCTAGAAATGTTGCCTTTGAGGCTAAGTGCTGCATGGCTTTTGCTGGTGCTGGAGCTCTGGAGCACTTTGCTTCATAAATGAGGTGAAGGCAGGAAGGTCTCTTCTCGTTATACCGTATAATCTATTATAATCTAAAGAGAAGGCTCTAGTTGATATTGATATGTTCATTTAGCAGGTAATAAATTGATACTGAGACTGCGAAGAAAGTGGTGTATCTCGCTGTCTAAAACTTGTTGTTGTCTGTACATGTCCTCTAAGGGGGGCAGCATGGTATTTTGGTATTTGTTCTAGTCTAAGTGGAAAGCATCCCTTGTATTTCTTTCTTGAACCAGAGTTCAATGTTCAATATTTGTGTACTGCTGTGCTACCAAAATACAATTGAAAGAGTTATAACCTGAAACGTCGGTCAGTCCTGAATTGCTAATAGAATATCCACAAAAGCAAATATACTAACAAACTTCCGTGGACGATTTGATCTAATGTATATTGGATAAACTTGGATTGCGCAATGATATGTTTTGGCATATTGACTCCTGTAAAAAGCTGCAACCCCCCGCGCTTGGGTTTTGTTTGCTAAGCCTCTTGCTTATATTCACTGTCTTGGTCTCTGTAAAGGCAACTGAAGTTCTAAATATCTTGTATAATTGTGATAGAGGATGTTGGCAATGCGAATCTCAGCTACCTTCTATCCAGATAGGCTGTAGTATGTAAGGGATCCTCTACATATTCATTATTGCTGACCACAGCTCCAGTAATCCAAAGCGAGCTCGCATGTCACTCACGGCGTGAATACACCCTGCTGTGCCTGCAGCCAAGTGAGCAAGGGCCCGATCAGCAATCATATCAAATCACATCAACGGGTACTGTTACTATGCACTGCTATTTCTGGTTCCTTGCTTCGCGTCGCAATGTGGAAATTCCTCTGAGGGACAAGACAGAGCGCGGCAGCAACAACTGTGAACGGCGATGACATGGGTACGCGGAAGCCTGGGAATGGTAATTGTTGTGCGGGTCCGATGATCGAAGGTCGCACAATAAGCAATCTCTTAGTGCTGAATTCCCGCATAAGTAGGCGTTCTGTAAGGTGCTTGGCGTACCTATAAGCCTAAGGAAAATTTTCTGTATTATATGCTTTGTTTGCTTCTGTGGCTTAGATCTTGATCTACTCTTTGCGTGGGTCATGAGCTTGTTGAGAGAGTTTATAAAAGGTCTTATTGATTTTTATATCTTCATCAGTGCTTACTGCCATCATGTGCGCATTCGCAAAGGCTGAAGATATATAGACAAATCAGTCAAGTTTATGAGATATTAGTATAAGCTTTTTTATCATTTCGCTGGCCCTAATAATTGCATGGGATAGGCGGCGCACGGTTCTTGCAAGGTTGATGGGAGAAGTACAGTGAATCACGATATTGACTTTGCGTTTTACTGTTTCTAACTCCAAGTCCGAGAGGCCCATGTATGGTTCTAGAATGTCTTCTTTAAAGATATTCAGATGGGAGGAATCACATATTCGTATAATCTCTTTGGTGGAAGCCATGGCTGCTATTTAGCGCGTGTTTTCCTTTTAAAGCTCCGATCAGTAATGTGATTTCGGAAGGGAACCTGAACTTACTTAAGTCCGCCCCTATATACCAAATACACGTGTGAAACTGAATTGTGATTGCTCCTTAGTAGGCGATGAATGGTTGCTGTTCCAAGAAAACCAGTGCCTCCTGTTAATAGTACAGACTTGCCATTGTAGTACTCCTATATCTTGAATGGAGTAAGTGCTTGGGGTCCTGGAATGGTTAAGCCCGAAGCTATTTTCTCTGAATAGATCTTTATACTCTCACGACTGCTTTCTACACTGCTAGTATTCCTTGAATACAAATATACTATCTGAAGGGTGATTATTTTATCATCCCTTACGTCATCTGTCTCTTGTACTTGATGAAGTATCTCTAACAGAATATCCTAGCATCAGTTCTAGCCGAGAATCTGTTATGCTTTTGCAATCCGGTACTGGCTCCAGTACAAACCCAGCTCCCTTTCCTGCCCCTATGTCTAATCTGCTCTGCTGTAATCGCTATGACTACTGCAATCACTACTCAGCTTGCTAGGCCGGTACCTGTGGGCATCTTTTTGGTACTACTATGAGAATCTGTTGCATCTCATTGCTTATCTAGCCGTTCCCGTAGTTCTCGTGTGGTACATCCCTCTTGTATCCTTGAGTAGCAACACGGCCCTGCTGATCTTTATCCTTTACTGGACTGGTAGTATCAGTATTTACGACTGGTATGTACCAGTTTGACGGGTTGTTAGTAGCAACTAATCTTTATTTTACAGGGTAATATTGTTTCTAGATCTCTAGTAACTACAAAGTCTTCTTCTCTCTCCGAATCTTTCTTGTCTTCTTCGGCGCCTTGCAACTTCAATGGTCAACTGTCTGGTGGACAATAAACTACTGTGTCCACTAATGGTATCTTAATATAGATAGAGATATCTATGCTGCTCGCAAAGGCTTCTTCTATACGTATATAGGCTGGATAATTGGATATACCCTGTACACCTGGGGTGTCGTTAGTATTGCTGATCTTAAAACGGGCCCCGTGGTCATTTACCAGCAGAGATATTACGGTGTTATTGCACTCTCTGGCTGCTTTGTGCTCCCGATGCTGATCGCCTATTATGGTGGAGGCGCGAATGTCGTAGAATTCGAGGGCGGGGTGTTCGCTATATCGAGGATTTTGTTATGCCAAGGTTCGTTATAACAAGGATCCACAGTACTATAATATCCACCTTTTTCCCCAATCGACCTCACAGGCGATCTTTATGCAAGTGATCAGTCGCCTAGTACATATTGGACAAACCTATACAGTATTTCATGGGATGGACTCAGATTGGTTCTAACTGAAGCATGCCGTACGAATAAGAAGGAATAGTTAGAGACCAGAGAGGTTGCAGAGGTCCGGTGGGAAGATGAAGGGGCTGCAGTCACGCGCAGCAAGTGTTGCGGGTCTGTCCCGTAACAACAATATATACGGAGTAAAAGTATTTCGTTCGAACAGACAGAAATAGCTCTTCAGCTATTTCTTCTTGTTCAAAAGCACGTTTCGATTAGCACAATCTATCCATCCCGTAACAGGCAGTACCACTAGTACGGGTTCGAATACACAGATCAGGCTTAATATGAATGAAATTACAGAAGAGGATCCATCATCAGTTCAGCAGAAGAAGAAGAACTCATAGATAGTTCAGATAATAAAAGGCATACAATACAGAGTAAGGATGAGGATACAGATAAGTACAAGGATAAAGACTCTCATCAAGACAAAAATAATGAAAACAAAGATAAATATTTATCTCCCAAATTTTGGGACTGAAAATAAAACTGTAATTAAACTAGATTTACATTGAACAATCAACGGCATCTGCCGGGTCTTCATTGATCCACAGTTCTCGGGCTACCAAAGGCCGATGTGCCGATATTCCAGCCGGGCATATCCGGCTGGAATAATGGGTCAGAGGAATCGCTAACTTTGTGACTACTATGAACGAAATGGATATTCTGACGCTTTTGGATCTTAATGACCAGATCTCAGCGGAAGCTAGGAAAGAGCAGCTGCCAGCAGGTCAAACGCGAAGGCATATGGCTGCAAAATATGTTACATTCAATGAATGCGGTTCCATGTTCCATTCACACCTTAGGCTTAGGCCCATTTCAGCGAAGTCCTCATCTAGTGTACTCGGTACTCTACGCAAACTATCAAACCGAACTATACAGAAAGTTTCAGCGACGGGTACGTGTCTAACGTGTGTGAAGCAGTGGCGGAGAATATTTCTGATCCACTCTGTATGTGCTTCGCCGCCTGGGTGATTGTAATGGCGTCATATCTATATACCCCTGATACAATATCTTGATTGTTTGTATCTTGAGTAATAGGCCTTGAGATGGATGATAATTAGTTAATGCATATTATAATGCAAGTATCAAACGTCATTATCTTGTTATGCATGGTGATGTTTATTCAGTTGCCGTTATCCAGAGTCGATCTCCGGGTTTCAGCTGATCAAGGAAAGATCTGCACAATCCCCGCTAGATGGCGTTATGGTGATCGCAGCAAATGATCGACACATCTCGGATTTATCGGTGCTATCTGGAAGACTAAATCATTTAGCATTGCCGGTCCTTACACTTGCTGTTTCATAAGGTGTAGAAATACCGCTGGGCATGCATAAGACCCCGAGAACTTCATCAAAGTTTGAACGTTCGCGGTTATAACAAATCTTCTTTACAAATTCAGTCCCCCAAATTTGAATCAACGCATAGTGCAAGATATGGCGACCAAGTTGAATATCAGCGTGACATCTGCGATCCACGGGATCGTGACCGGTAACAAAGCCGTTGTACTGGTGTCAGGCGCTAAGGGCCATCGTCCAACACTGAAGCTCAACGACTGCGACGAAAGCGATAGCTTGCAACCTGTGGATGGAGATACGTCTAAGTGGAAGGGTGTGTTGACAGGGTTTACTGTTGGATATAACAAGCTTCTTGCAACAGACACCGGTAATGAAGCGACTTGTGTTGTCCGGGGCTTTCCTATCCAAGGCCCAGTCTTCAGCGGGCCTCATATCCAGCCGTGGATATGTACCACCGAGGAAAATGGCCTAGGACCTGCCGTGGATGAACACTGCAACGCTCCGACAGTCACCAGATACTACTATATGGACACTGAAGCCTCTGATTTTCTGCCTTACGACCCAAGCAGCCCTCCCAAACCAGAGCAGCTAGCCCATACTACGACCGATGCAGGGATTACGGTTCCTTACATTATCCGGCACGAGAAGGGAACTGCAAACAGAGGAGTGTGGGAGCTTACTACCCTATGCGATCCCCGAGAACCATGGACTGCGATCAATCCACAGAAGGGATGGAACCGAAAGCTTTACATTGTCGCGTTTGGAGGCTGGAACCAAAAATATAGCCAGTCGGTGCTTCAGACTGGATTGACTCCGGAGTTGAAGTATACGGTATTCCAGGACATGGCGCTTCGACGCGGATTCATGGTTGCTCGCTCGACACAAATGCAATCAAACACTAACTCCGACTCTATCCGCGCCGCCGAGTCCATTTTGATGCTCAAGCAGCATGTCATGGTGCACTACGGAGAAATCCTGTACACCTTCGCCTCCGGGCCATCCGGAGCTTCCATCATGCAGCAGATGATTGCCAACCAGTACCCTGGTTTGTTCCAAGGGATCATGCCTCTTTCTAGTGTTCATTCCAGCTGGTATGTTCCTGGGATTTCTATTGAATCCAAGCTTTTGGAGCATTACTGGACCAAAACATCTCCCGCTCTATGGACAGACCCTAAGGCGCGCCTTGCAGTCGACGGGCATCAAGATCACGATATCATGCAATTCTGGAATACAGTCTTTGGCTCTGAGAAGACCGGCGGTGTGGATCCAACTCAAGGAACTGGGTTAGAGCCTGATCTCACATACAACCCACAAAGTAACCCGGCTGGCGCACGGGGCACCCTTCAAGATTACCATGTAAATTACCTCGGCAGACGTTCGCCTTCAGAATGGGTCCCTCAGGAGGTCAAGATCAACAGAGGATTTGCAAACCTTCCCTGGGACAATGAAGGTATACAGTATGGTCTGAACGCGCTCCTCGATCACAAAATTAGCGTGGAGCAGTTCTTGGACCTCAACGAAAAAGTAGGCGGGGTCGATATCGACGCCAACTTCATACCCTCTCGAACTGTGGCTAGCCCGATAGCACTGGAACGTCTTCATCGAAGTGGACTGATCAACGATTTTAGCCATCTAGATGAGGTCGCTATCTTAGATCTTCGTTGTCCAGAGCAAGAAGACCCTATCAGAAGCCATACCCAGTTTCATACCTGGGTTTCAAGAACGGGCCTGACCCGAAGTCAGGGGCATGCTGAAAATCAGGCTATATGGATGTGCCCGGGCTTCAAAACCGTGCAAGGTCCCCCGGAAGCGGCCTTTGTGCTGATGGACAGCTGGCTTTCTTCTGTTTACAAAGACTCCACGGACATTGCTTTGGCGGAGAAGATCAGAAAGAATAGACCCTCGAAACTCACGGATGGACTCTGGACTCCAGATGGAACTCCGATTGGTGATCTGGAAGTTATGAACAGCACCTATCCCGTTTATGGAGACCCCAGGACTGTGGCTGCTTGTAACAATCTGAAGGCCATGCTCATAGCAAAGCCGCAGCTCAAGCCGATAAATCCAGCGGATTATATAGGAATAACATTCTCCGAGGTGGAACTTCAACGATTGAACAGTATCTTTCCCAATGGCGTGGCTGATTGGGAGAAACCTGGAGTTGGACAAACCCAAAGCGTACCGTGGCTTTCTTATGAACCAGGCCCTGGGGGACTTCCTATTGAATAGTCTGGCAATACGCCTCTCATCCCTCCTTGCTACCACGCGCTTTGTACATATCTTTCGCTCCCTGCCTCTCTCTATTAGTCTCCATCGGCTGTACAATGTTTTCTCGCTCGCTGATCTCTTTTAATTCAAGTGCTGTTTTTGACTATCTACATTATGCGTATGATATTTCTTAGAAATTAGAAACGATGCATCGCAGCTTTCTAATTTTTAAATGCGAAAGTTGCCGTCTTGTGGCCTCTCTACTTTGATGATAGATCGTTCCCCATGTCTCGTGAAACATATATTCCAAAAGTCAAGTGCTGAACTCAACGTTTGGATGCTCAAAGATTTTTATCTCACTGCTGAAAGCCCCAGGTGTAGCTCGCAGTACCCATCGAAATAGAAACATTCATGCTTCTAAGTTGTTATCGTTCTATATTCAATTCCTCTATAACGTGACTTTACTTGATATTGATAATTACATTTCATTAACTAATCTGGTCGTCTGATAGGATTGCGTAGCAAATTCTATCGCAAACGGACATCGCGTTGCTAAACCGTCGATACCTCGTGGCCTTTTTCTCGCCCCTGCCTATATATCAATCCGCCAAAGGACTTTGCTAGATATGTTAAGCTGACCGCAACCCCAAGGCCACCCAAGCCGATACCCATATAGTAAGCACCGCGATACCCATTTAGAGTGTCCTGAGGGTTTAAAGCGCCATTGTTGACATGAACCTCGACGGTACCGGCAAATCCAAGTCCTAGCGATATACTATAGTTGACTATAGTGGTGACGAAAGATGCGGCAACTCCTTGATGGCGACTGCCAACCGCATCAGAAAGAATAATCGTCGCCGCAGGAAATGACATATCCATGCCCCAGGGCATAACCAAAAGCGAAACAAAGGTTAGCCCCCAGTAAGTTTGATCAGCGGGTGC